ACAACACATATATATATACACACATACATATATACATATATACATATATACATACATACATACATACATACGTACATACATATATACATACATACATACATACACATTTACATACATATATACATACATACATACATACATATGTACATACGTACATATATATATACATACATACATACATACATACGTACATATATACATACATACATACATACATACATACACACATACACATATACACACTTATATCCATACTGACATACATACGTACATAACAAGCAGTCCAAATTTTTAGCGGATTCACTTTGTGTTGTTGACCATAGCAAAACGTGAATACTATTTTATCTTATTTTGTACCGTGTACCTTTCAGGTACGGTTCCAAATGTACTTTACGAAAGTGTGTCCTTAGTATTTGACGAGTCTGTATCAGTGGTCTGTCAACCGCGTGTTGTTTTGATGTCTCTGCTACGTATGAGTCGCGCACTTTCGATTTGACTATTTTCCCTAATATTCACGTATTCAAACATGCATACTCACAGCCCGTGACTGCGCTTCAAAATCCGGACTATGAGAGGATGTATCCATTCCAGTTTTTCAATCCGATCCAAACCCAATTCTTCCATGCCATGTACCATACCGATACCAGCGCACTTATCGGTATGTCGTTCTTTCTCGACCAGTTTAATCTGATAGTCTCGCCGGATTTTCGATCATATTCGTGTAAATAAACCTACGTGTCCGTCCGCATGTCAGTTGGGACCTTGCACTTGCAGAGAAAACTCCCGAGTTGTTTAGTTCATCAAAATCACGTCGTGAATTGACTATGTGGCTGTGAGTTCTGATACATGTCATTGCGTTTATCTTCTATTCCATTTTACAATACATGCTTCTGTATATACACTCAGGTGCACCCACAGGGTCGGGTAAGACTGTAGCGGCTGAGTTGGCGATCTTCCGACTATTCAATACTCAGCCAACGGCCAAGGTGAGTCTTACGTGTGTGGGGTTTGAAAATTGGCTTGTTGAGAAGTGCAATCATATTGGTACAGACAATAGTATTGACACAATTAGATCGGACATCAATAAATTGTTTGTGCGTGAACACGCTACGGCAAGAACTTGTTTGGCAGATAAACGTATATGTAGCTTAATGTTATGACTACTTTGAGTTGGCATTTTAGACGTATATGTAGTTTGATGTTATGTTTAAAGATCCTTCGAGGAACATATTTCTTGCCATGCTCGTCAGTAAATTGAATGCTATGGTAGATAGGGACGATACTAATACTACCGGACATGCTCCATGGCGTGCTGTCTCATAAGTTTGATCTTTGTACTGTCAATGAAAGAAATTCAGAATTGTCATCTACATTTGACACATTGCAACCCTGTCCAGAACAGTTCCCTTCAGTTAGTTTTGACTTCGAGTAGATCCGATTCAATTTTACTCATTTCAATCATATGTATTCCAATTTAATGCAATACAATTCAATTCAATCCAATTCAAATCAATACAAATCAATTCAATACAATCCAATCATTTCAATACGATTCAATTAAGTTTAATATACCTCAATTCAACACAATTCAATTTAAGTCAATTTAATTCAATTCAATTTATTACAATTTAATTTAATTCATTTCAATTATATTTATTACAAATCAATTCAATTCAATTTATTACAATTCAATTTAATTCATTTCAATTCAATTTATTTGAATCCAATTCAATTCAATTCAGTTCAATTCAATTCAATTCAATTTATTTGAATTCAATCTTCTATATTCAATTTCTCTACATATCGTTTAGTTCAACATGATTCAATTCGATTCAATTCAATACAATTCGATACATAATTCAATTCGATTCCTGGCGTTTGTTTCGACTGTATCCAATTCAGTGATCGTTATCCGGAAAGATTGAAGCCAAGTCCACCATCAACGAAGTTAACTCACTCTTAGAAGTCCCTAATACTAATCGTTCCTAATTGCTATCATAATCAGGTAGTATACATCGCACCGTTGAAAGCGCTAGTGACTGAACGGATCGACAATTGGGGTCGACGGCTGGTGAAGAACACTGGGTGCAAAATGGTCGAACTCACTGGCGACAGCGCACCAGACCAACGGGTGAGTGGTTAATGCGACATGTGAGGGAATAATGAAACAAGTATGGGAGTAATGTGACGCGCGAGGTAATAATGTAGTAGTGAGGGAGTAATAACACACGTGAGGTATGAGTGTAACAAGTATGGGAGTAATGTGACGCGCGAGGTAATAATGTAGTAGTGAGGGAGTAATAACACACGTGAGGTATGAGTGTAACAAGTGTGGGGGGATGTGATACGCGAGGTAATAATGTTTTAGTGAGGGAGTAATAACACACGTGAGGTATGAGTGTAACAAGTGTGGGGGGTGATGTGATACGCGAGGTATTAATGTATTAGTGAGGGAGTAATAACACACGTGAGGTATGAGTGTAACAAGTGTGGGGGTGATGTGATACGCGAGGTAATAGTGTATCAGGGAGGGAGTAATAATACATGTGAGGTATGAGTGTAACAAGTGTGGGGGTGATGTGATACGCGAGGTAATAATGTAGTAGTGAGGGAGTAATAACACACGTGAGGTATGAGTGTAACAAGTGTGGGGGTGATGTGGTACGCGAGGTAATAATGTATTAGTGAGGGAGTAATAACGCACGTGAGGTATGAGTGTAACAAGTGTGGGAGTGATGTGACGTGTGCGAGATTAAGACTGGGACGACCTGGAAGGTCAGTCTTTTGTAAAGTCTGTAGTTAAAATCGTGAACCAAGACGTAATCAGCTAAATAACCTAAAATAAATATACATACTCAGGCTATCCGTGAGGCTCAGTTGATCGTGACGACTCCTGAGAAGTGGGATGGAATCAGTCGTAGCTGGCAGAGCAGAGGCTATGTGCAGGACGTGCGCCTGATCATCATCGATGAGATACACATGCTGGAGGCGGACAGAGGGCCAGTACTAGAGGTATGGGACTTTCTTCTGGATGGTTCATATATTAGTTGTAGTCCAACTCTCTCTCTAGAGTAGATAGGCGTGCCTGGGCGTCTGCCGACGGCCAGTTTGTGACAGATCTGAATCTTTTCGGGATGGCTCTGATACACCTAGTACATGTCAGAACCTTTGTAGTATTAGCTTGGTCGGCTTCCATATGTCTCGCTTCACAAGTCTTTATTTGCGAGTTAAAGTGTGTGTGGTGGGCCATATACATTTGTTGGAGATTGATAGACGGCCAGTTTTTAAAGTGCTTGGCTGCCATTTGGTTATCTTTACAGTTTTTCAGTTGAGTTATATCGTTGTTCTCTGTTTGCGATTCTAGTGGTGGGCCAGATACATTTATTGGAGATTGATAGACAGTCAGTGTTTGAAATGCTTGGCTGCCATTTGGGTATCTTTACAGCTCTTCGAGTTGAGTTATATCGTTGTGTGTGGCTCGCGTAGTGCCTTATGTCTCTATTTGTTCATTCTTCATTACGTGTGAGTCGGTTCAGAGCGCCTTGGGTGACTGGTCGTGTCGTCGTGGATGGTTTTGATCATGATTGTGTGCCTTTATCTGGGTAGGTTATCGTAGGTGTGTTTTTCAGAATTGAGTGTAAGAGCTCACACGTATGATTGAAGGTGAATGTTGTGTGTATATGTGCATGTCCAGGGAAGAGGATTATTATCTAACTATCACATGCACACGCACACAACTATATATATATATATATATATATATATATTATATATATATATATATAATTATATATATATATATNA